ATGATATGAAATCACTTGGTCATATCAGGACATCACATTACCGTATTCACGTTCTTTTGAACAATTTTCATTATGCAGAATCATATCACATGATCTAAATATCAAATTGTACAAAATTATGACATCACGTCATGTGTTAGTTTACCTCACATAGCATTGATATATCATTTTCTCATAATAAAAGAAATAACATGACGTCATATGTTAGTTCAAATGAGAACATCACATAGCATCATTATTTAATGCTTAAATATAGGTCCTACTCTACAGAAGGAATTGAGCTAAACTAAATGACTAGTTCATGACATCACATCACAAGTATGCTTACATCGCCAAATTACGTCGCGAAGTAAATCGTTATATATATAGCATAAAAACTTGCGAGTTACATATTGAAAAATATTCTTCAGTGCCAATATCGTATTAGTACGATGAAAATATTGTTTGACCTACTTTTGAGTTATCGCTTAGATTTCGAAACATTCCTTGAACATCATACAAATCAGAAGTATTTATAATAAATTATGGAAATATATATTTATACATATTCACTTTCAAAATTTCTATAAAATGTAAGATATTTTCTACAAATTGCTTTAAAACTATATATTTTTAAGTATTTTTATAAGTGTTTTGAAATGTTTTACACTCACCAAGGTTCATTACTTGCTGAAAAACAAAACAAAAATGTTTTAATATTTTTCCAAGCACTTTGGTACAAATATATATACATAAACTTATAATAACATAATTACTTTTATTAAAATAATATATGCAGGAAGACAACTTTTAGCAGCCATTATCTTTGCGCGTTATAAAGGTCAGCGAAATGCATTTTTTAGTAAAGCTATAGTTTCTTCTATAAGTAAAGTAAATGCATGCTTAGGCAATGCCAAATATAATCACCACCGTCAAACCGATATTTATGTTCTGCTATTATTAAAATTTATTGATATTGAATATATTTTGTTGCTTTAAAAAAAACAACAACGTGATTGTAGAGCTTATCAGCGCTAGTTAATTAAATTTATGCACAACATCACACAGCTTTGTTGAAATATTTTGAAAAAATTTTGAAATCGTGCCTGATGCATTAACTCAATAAACATTTGAAAGGCAATTTCACTAATTGTACAAAATTTATTATTGAAAAGTCGCTGTGGGAAAGGCTAATACAAAGAAGTGTTCAATTTACATATATTATATATCACATATAAGTAAGGGATAAGTTCGAATGAAATCAGATAGAAAAAAATAAATTTTTTTTTATTTCAACAATACTAGTTATGCATCAAAAATCAATACTTATAATATATGATACAATACGAAGTTCTGACAACTTTTGGTATCTTAAGCTAAAGATTAGTTATCCTCTGAGTTCATTTATAGCATGAGGGTTAGGAAAAAGTATGAACTATTATTTACATTTTTGGTTTATGGTAAATAGAAAAGCATGATTATAGTAAAACTGTATGTATTTCCTGATCCTAGTAAGAGATATCAGCTTAGTACGGGAGTTCGATTTCTTATATTTTTTGTTTAGATCTATAAGCATGATAATGACATAAACATTTCCTAATCATAAGGTAGTGATATTTATTGGAGGTAGGAAGCACCGGTGATATCTCATACATCATTATAATCTAATGGGAGCTTGTCAGTGTTAGGATTTACGACAACTATAGTTTTGTAACATCTGAAACTCTACTTTTTAACAGAAAACAGTAACTCTAAGAAGAAGAAGGTGCATAAAGCTTCGATCATTTTATTTTTCTACGGAAAAGATATCGGTTATAGTTGGCTCAAAATATTCGAATGGGGTCTATAAAAATTCTTTTCCGAGATCTGATAACCCTTTTTATGTTCGTGCGAAACTTTATTTCCATATAACAGTTAGTGTGTGGAAAACGTGCTGGCTTGAAATTTTGAAATTTTGTGTTTCCAATGGAACACCGGCAACGCAATCGTTATAAATGTTGCAGCAATGTTTTGAAATATAGACTTTATCACAAACGACATCGAAAAAGTGAAGGAAAAAGTGCTTTTAAGAAAATTGTGGTGTGGGCATCAGAAAGAGAGATAACAGAAGATCTCTTATGGATCCACTTAATCATTTTGGTTAACGTTTTGAGTATAAAGCCAATGCTATCTCTATATTCAGGTATTAAAAAATCATATATCTTATAAACAAATATTAAATTTAAAAACAAAACTACTAAAATCTAATGATATATACTTTAAAAATGCTGAACTTATTTTAAAACCAAAACTAAGCTCTAATATCACCAACCAGGAACCATTTCAAAATTAAAAACTAACACTTTATGATTATTATACGAAAGTCTTTTAAGGTGGTTACATAAAGTTGAAAACAAAACAACAACACCAACCAATTAAGAGTGCCATAATTAAAATAACAATAAACTACATAACTAAGCAGCAGTTCGCTATATATTTTAACGCCTTCAGTCTTTACCAATTAAAAAAAACAACAACACTTCCCAACAGGGTGCAGCTGATGAAGATGAACGAGGTAACCATGTACGACGCGCGTTAACTTGGCCCCAACTAACGCACATGCAATGTAAATGATTTCCGCAACACGCCCGTTATAAAACTGAAACACTGGAGCATCCGCCTCAATTTTCCTCTCACCTCCCCAGCTTCCACCACTTTACGCCAGTGCAGCGCCTTTCGATCGGTGACAATCGATCAAAATAATTCCGTCCCCCTACCCGAAGCAACAATTCGCAATAACATCCGTGACTCCTAACATACTTATATCTAAAATGATCGCCACATGGTTATTGCTATTGTTGTTGCTGATGATGCTAACATTGCTGCTGCTGCTGTTCGTTTGGACTCCAGCACTCGAAGGTGTGTTTTATTGTTTTTTTAATATGTTGATGAGTGTTATTTTTTGTGCATGGCTTATTCATCGTTTCTTCGTATGTTTGTTGTTTTAGCCAATAACAAAAGTTGTGATTTGATGAAACATGCTTTTAAAGTGTTGCTGACGCGCTGACTTTAATGCCGTTGACGTTGATGTTTAGACATGTTTAGACAGACGGCAAGTGTTGTGATCATGGCAATATTTGAGACGAATTTGTTTTTGTTTTTACGTTTTTCATTTGCAAAACGCGCGTGCTCTCTCTCAACACTTGTTTAAAGGCGTTTAAGTAATAATAAAATTTATTTAAATACTTTGGCATCACCGTCTTTGTTGTATGCTTCAATTCGTCGCACGGTGGGTTGGTTTGAGAGAACAGGTTATAAGATAAATATATGTGTATTATTGTTCTTAAACCAAATCTCATTGACTCGATTTTATAGTACTTAAACATATTGCCCATACAAAATAAGGGTCTCAACGCTTGTCTCTAGATAGATCCGTACCCAAGCGTAAATTTGATATATTCGCTGTTTTAGTCTGAGGGTAGCTAGGTTTCCTTAAACGGCACAACTACCGTGAAATTAAAAAAAAAAGGCAACTGTTTTTCATATTTTCATATACTATACCTTTAAATGTATCATATGTACACAAATTTAAAATCGAGAACTCGACTAGTTTTTGAGTTGCAGCCTTCTAAAGTGTAGCCACCCAGCTCATCAAATTCATCAGTTTATCTTTAAACGCATTTTAATCAAAACTTCTCTATACAATGGCCTACAGTTTATTGAGCCGATTAAAACTCGAAATTAAGAGGGTATTCTAATGTAGAATTTCAAAAAAATCGATTTTTTTCATATTTTCAAAGTATAACTATTTAAGAATATGTCTATGAGAGGATTTTTGAAAATTTAAATTATTTTCCGAGATATAGACATTTTACTGACCGGCCTCCAATCTGGTTCGGCTGGGTCTAATCAAACAAAAAACAATACAATTGTGACATCATTGCAGATTGTTAATTTTTTTTTTTTCATTTCAGATGACTAGGAGGTTTGAAATCGTGGGTATGCTCATGTGCCAATTTTTTGAGAAATCCACTTCATCAGCTGGCTGTTTCTTATATTAAAAAAATTTTTTTTTTTTAATTTTTTTCTGTACTTTTGTAACATTAATGAATAACTGATTAAAAAAATCGTTAGTAAAAATATTGATTGCCGTTTTTTACGACGCTTTAAAAATTACCTAAAATGCATGTCTCTAGACTAGAATACCCCCTTATGGGGGGCCATACATGTAAACGCCTGAATTTATGCCAATTTTTAGAGGCTTATTTGAAATGGAAAAACTAAATGAATAATAATGAAATTCAGTATGTTTATTAAGTACATTTATAAAATATAAAAATCCGATTTAAAAAAAAAATTTCAAAATGGCCGCCGTGTCAATCGATCTCTTGAGGCTGGATTTATAGCTTCAGTTTAACTATTTATCAAAAAAAAATAAATAATAATAAATTTTACATGTATCGCCCCCATAAGCAGGTCAAAAACGACCAAAATTTTGTGTAGAATTCACCAACGTCACTATTTTATCAATTTTGAATTTTTTTATTTTACCATAAGTTATTATATATGTACGGATAATATCTTCTATGTAGTACAGCATTCTTTTTAAATTTGGAAAAGATCAGAATCACTGCAGCAGTGGAGGACGTTTTTTAGGCTGTCACATTATATACCTAGGTATGTCTTTGAGTTGAGATCATAAAAATATTAGTTTTTAGCAAAACTATTTGAATGAGAGCCAATAAGAGAATATCTGTATGCTAACATCGAGCAAAAAAAGCAAATGTATGCATGAATATTGAAACCTTAATCACGGTAAATCCAACCTTTGACGTTGTGCTTCACCACAATATTTATAAGGTAACCTGAAGAGATTGTAAATCGTAAAGAAAGTCTTTTATGTAATATATTAAATTAACAAATTTCTATTTCAGTTTTTATTTCAAAATCTATTTTCAAAATCAACCACTGTGCGCAGTGGCAGCTACCGCCTTTTGTTACTATAATTAAGTGTTGCTTTTTTTATTAAATTCTCTGGTTGTGGTTATTGTTGTGCTTGCTGAATTTTTATCATAAAGCACAAAAAATCGTGTCGAATTTTAGTAAAACTTTGCCTTTTCATTTAGGAATCTGATGTGAGGCGATATAAAGTCTAAGCGACTACGAGGCGCAGACTTTAGTTAATTTAGCTGATCAGCCTAGTCGTGAGCGGACAAGTGTGTGTTGGTTGCAGGAAAAGTTCGAAAAGTTGCCCTTTGTGAAAGTAAAAACTGTGAATTTCAGCGACAAGCTATTTGAATACTAAAAAGCCGCAGGATTATCAAAGGATCATTATGATTGAGGTAATGGAATATGGAATAGTGAAAATTAAAAACAAAATAGAATGTGAAAATTAAGTGAAACATGAATTTTATAAAGCAAGCCTGAGTGAAAAAATTAACAAAGCAAAAATATTATTTACTCAATAAAAATAACGATTCAATATTCGAATTAATTATCAAGATTGTGAATGTCCAAAAATATTCGAAGAGATATAAATTAAATTGTTAAAATCAATAAAAAAAAGTCGTAACGGTGGAAATGTCATGGTTTATTGCGACATTCGTATGTAAGATCTGAAACTAAGAAAATCTGGTATTTGTTCAAGCCTTCTGCAGATCTCTTGAAGATCTACGACAGAACCTAAGCTCTACTTCTGCGAGTATATCTAAACCACCATGATGTTTGTAAGACCCAAAAGAAAGCGTCGTGTAAATTTTACACCAAGAAGCTGTTCATTTGTGGGAATAGAACAACTATAGCATAGAGCTGCCATACAAACTGACCGATCAAGCTCAAGGCCTTGTATGGAAAACTTCACGAAGTTCGCCATAGATAAATATGCAAAACCTTGCTACAATCTCTAGCATAGTGTTTAGATCGGGCCATTACAGCTTATAGCCGACCGAAAAATAAAAATATTGTTTTACTTTTGCACCTGTGAAGGGTATTATTGCTGCGATGCAACCGAAGTTAAGTTTTATCATAAATTTTTTCACACAAAAATCTATAACAGAGCTCAGGAATTCGATAGTTTCTATGTGTTTTTATATATTAAAAATATATTTCCATCAAAAAGGAACGTCAGGTGTCGCTGTGATCGAATTATTGTTAAAAAAATATTTAATAAATTCCTTTTGATATATTTGGCATAAAGAAGGAATAATCTGCGATAGAGTGTTGTGATATTACTTCTTAGAATAGTTAGTTTCAAGGTGAAGTTTTTCTTTTACCATGGATACCGTTATTCCTTGACTTCATCGTTGCCACGTTTGGTTTTTATACAAACTATTAGTATAAAGTCCTAAAGATCAACGTTTATTGGACCTCTCAATATATGTATAAATATTTCAATGATTAATTACAGCTAGCCTAGGTGAAGTCAACACATTTTATTGTTAAAATAAATAACCAGTTTCAATAAAAGCTGAAAATTTTCTTAATGCCAAAGCCAATTTTTCAGGCTAAACACACACATAATTTTCGATTATTGTAATTATAGCTTCGTTACGGACTTAAACTTAATTAAATTTTAATGCTATAAATATAAATAACAAATTGAAATCAACAGATATTAATATCGTAAATAATTTAACTAGAAAATAAATTACTTGCAACATCGCCATAAATACTCCGACGCACTAAATTTCGCATCAGAAAAACTAATTATCTGCCAAATCGCTTAAGAAGCTTTTGAAGTTATACAAATTACTTTCAATATAACAAAAGCAACAAATTAAATTACACTCTTCTGCCATCAAGCTTAAATAATCTCTACGGCTGTTACATGCACTCAGCACAGTACAAGCTGATTGAAGTACTTAGACAAGCGACAGCCTTAAATTGAATTTGCGTTTAGTCATTAAAATGATTTTCTATATTTAATCCAATATGGAAATTTACTTTGCATATTTTACGTATTTTATAGCGCAACAACACCAACTACAACTGTGTACAGCTACAACTTTTACTACTCTCTTTCATCGCATTACTAATCACCACCACCACCAGCATGGCGCTGCCCATCATGCCGGACTCACCCATACAAACAATTATTGTGCCCTATCAGCGGCATACCGTTAGCGGTCATCCCTATCAATACCCGAAATTGACGAGCGAAAAGCGACAGGTGTTTGTGCCCGCTGTGTTAGAGGTGGTGCCACGCTTCAATCTCAATCAAGGAGAAATAGCTCTGGGCAGCCAGAAAGGTACGCCCGTGAACTTCGTGGACGGTGCCTACCCGGTCTACTATATGCCGAGCAATGTTAATGGTAAATTTAATGGCAAAATTGCGCTGCTGGAGGGCGTGTTGCAGTAGTAGTGGCGAAAAGCCTGGAGTTTCTAAGCAAACACTTATTTAGTACATACATAACTATACATACATACCTGCTTACTTTGTAACTTAAATAGTAATGCTAATTTACTTCCACCTAACGAATACACTGTGATACGGAACGTGCGCAATAGTCACATTAATGAAAATAATTTTAGTGATTTGTAAATTTTAAAGAGAATATATAATAAAGATGTGGATTAACAGCTTTAAATAAATAAAAAATTATTTTATATTTAATTTGCGTTGAAAAAAATGGAACAAAAATCTCGCAACTTGCAGAAATTAGTGAAAGCTTCCATCGTTCATTTCGATCGCAATCGCAGCCAAATTGGCGTCGTCTTGTTTCTTCTGGCTCGTATTATATTTGCATATCATTTGCCTTTATTCAAATTCTTTTTCACTTTATCTTATTTGTTTTGATTATATTCGTCAAACAGCTTTCAGCTTTCATTCTCCCAAATTGATGGATGAGTTTTATGGAAGCGACACACTTACATTTTTAATATAATATTATTTCCCAAAGATTTTGGAAACTATTCATATCTGAACAATATCTTTTTTAGAGCATATTAGCAAATTATATCTTCTATATAGTTTTAAAAAGTACAATTGGTGAATATTTTTAGAAGCGGGCAAATTTGGCCAATATTAAAGGAATTGTGTGAGTTGTAATTAATGGTAGCTAAGGCTCTTTGGCTCACATTTTTTTAATTACAAGGAAACATTGTGGTTTATTCGATATACTAAACCATTAAAGCCATGTTAACGAAACTATTAATATCTCTACTTAGAGGTCTACATGACATATTCTATTAAGCTTGACTAACGTAAATTATATGTTTTCATTGCAAAACTCGAACTATTTTGAAGTATTTCTTCCTATATTATACAAAGCTCGATAAATCTCCCGAACTATATACATAGGTTTAGCGTAGTCAAGTGAATTGACGGTTCTGTTAACCCTAAGTTTGCTTCTAAAAGTTAGTGATTCTGGGTTATTAACCTCTGTCACGAAGTATTAAATGATCTTTCCACAGATGTCATAAGACTCACAAGACTACTGCTACCATTGGTGGCCCTGATCAAGAGCCTGCTATAACTACGTCCTAAAAAATTCTTAATTAGAACGCAACCAAGCTTAAAAACTAAATTCTTAGTAAAATTTGGGCTCGTTGAAAGTGTTTTGATTGAAGTTGGTTGTAGTTGTTTGAATATCTACGAACCATAAACAGGGAATTTTAAGTTTGCCACGAAGTTTGTAACGCCCAGAAGGGATCGCCGGAGGCCCTATGAGGTATAAAGTTCAATGATCAGCATAACAATCTGAGCCGTCTGCAAATACGGGAACTAGTCCCTCAGTTTTTGAGATATCGATCAGAATATAACTACCATACTAACTTACCGCTCAAAATCAAGCCCTTAGATGGAAAACTTATTTATTTCACAAGATATCTTGAAATTTAGCATAGATTGTATATGTAACAATATTTTATTTCATTTATGGTATATCAATAAGTTTTGAATTACTGAAGAACTATTCTAAGTATTATCAGACAGAGTCAGTACAGCTTATACTCAAACTCCTCTCATATGTAATTCCTTTGCCAGAGAATTTATCAAAAGCTAATGACCTTAATTCTTGGAATGTTTATTTATTCAAGCATTAAATTTAAATTTAGAGACACCTATTTTATTCAATATAATTTTATTAAAAAAATCATCCATTCCCAACACTTCAGAAAAACACTTAATTAGGTTTCTGAAATATAATAAAAAAGTTTACCTTATAAATCTGAGCGCATACAATACCTGACCGCAACTTTGACATGAATTAACCCTATAAACCCACTAGCAAAAACTACTAAAATCACAACCGCGCATGGTCCTCTAAAGAAGCCGGTAAACTAAGCCGTGAACTAACGGTACAACAATATTTGCCATTGAGAGCCGCTTAACAAGCAAAACTTGTAACAAACGCTTGTCGTGATATAAAAATATAAGTAACATGATGTAAAAATATAACAACAACAACAAATACAACATTAGTATGGCACCCCACAGAGTTTAGTTTCAAATCCTGCTAACAAAAGCAAAAAACCGTTAACAATAGGTGTCGCCGCAGCGGTAACGGCAAGCTGTGAACAATAACAGCAACCAACGTTGCCAACAACTAACGTCAATACCAGTGGCAACACTATCATTAGACGTGAAAACCGCAAAGCAAACGCAGCGTGGTGGATGAGGGTGCCGGCTCAGTAACAGCTGAAGTAAAAAGGAAATAATACTACGGCTGGAGTGGGTATTTGGCGTAGCGCTGTTGATTGAAAAAGGAAATAGCAGTGTGGAAAGAGTTAGAGGCGGTTGTGAGGTCGCAACGCTTAGCCGTTATTGCGACCCCTAATTATATGCAGCAAATGCAAAATCAAACTTAAAGATATAGAGTTCTGTACACTAGGAGAAATATGAAATAAATGCTTCTTTTAAAATGTTAGTATTCTTAATGACGATTTAAAAAGGATGACAAAAAAAATCATTTGCATACTAAACTGTTATTCTTACGTAATTTGCTGGTGATATAGAACCACCTCAGTTCGACTGTGTCCTTTTTGCGTGTATAAAGCTAATTAATGGTTCACATGTGATCTCTCGATAAGGAATAAATTTTGAGAAATGCTGTCGGACGGATAATAATCTGGGCAATTATTACAATTGGTTCACACTTTTCGTAAATTTTATTTTTCTGGCTTGCAATTTATTACAATTGCACCTAAAAGTATGCAATTTCTTTTTGATATTTCCTGTAGGCATAAAATATTTACACAAACTACTTAATTGTCTATTTACTGGTAGCTAAAATCAACGAAAACTATATTAACGCATGAGTTTCGGTATAAGTCGAAACAGGGTTACCAATTTTTAAACTAAATATGCCCTAACCCTAAAATGCATAAATATCTATGTAAAGCAGTTGAGAGAAGGATTTTTAAGTAAATTTGGTTAGGTTATAATGACTGGCTGTTCCACAATATAGGCCTATTTTTTCTTTCTAATGTTCTAATTCGAGTTAAAGTATTCGTTACACAGGTGTCAATGCGTTTTTCAAATTTTTAGAGAGACTTAATTGCTAATTTTGTACATCATCTAATTCTTTGAACTGCGAAGTTTTAGATAAGGCCGAACAAACGCAGAGGAGGGTTTCAGCGACATTCTTATATCTACTTCCCTGCAGCTTGCGCATATATCATTGTCACTAAACTAATGCTATGCCAGGCCAACAACCGTCCTGCAGTATTTTCGAGACCGTGTAAGTAAGAAGAGAGCGTTTTTTCGTGGGAAACCCCTCGAATTCTCTTCTAAAAAGGCATTACATCTCCTCCCAGCTTTTAAGGACATTTTCTGACATAATACGATGTGAGATGATTCCCTTAATCGCCACTTAGCTATCTTATCGTTTATAGTAATATAATTTATATTGTTTGCTGCGTTGTTAGCTATCTCAGCAGCTTTCCTTACCGTGAAGATCATATGTCTGGTATTCCGAAATTGGAAGTCTTGCCGTCCGCTGAGATCTTGATCCCGGCACCCAATTCCTCAGCCATTTCAAGTAAGTATTGAAACAAAAATATTGATAAATCATATTGTCACTTGATTTGTAACACAAATATTTAATTGAAATTTAAAAAGTTAATAATAAGTACAATAGTAAAGATATTATTTTAAGTAAAGGACAGAAATTGTTTCAAAACTAATAATGAGCTCGGGAATTCATTTAGAATCATTTAATGTTTGAAAATATTGAAATTTTCTTTCAAATAAATATTTGTATTTCTATTTATTAAGAAAGTTTGGCCACTAGCAAGGCAATGTATAAAAGTAATGTAGAAACTATTTTTATTTCATCAAACAACAAAAACAAAACAAAATATATTAATTACAAAAAAAAAAAAGTATGAAAATTTTTATTAGTCAAACTATGCATATCTATAAATCATTAACACAAATATTAGTTCTAAAAAAATTGTAAACCTTCAGTTGTCGCCCAGTGTACTTCAAGCACTTCCTCCGAATACTTTCGAATTCCTTTTGCCGACAAAGTCATTATTGCCATGCTTATTATTATTATAAATGTTGTTGTTATTATTACTATGTGCATTATTGTTGTTGCCTTAAAACGCATTTTTGCTGCTAGTTAACTAAAAGCAGTTCCGCACAAACTATAACAACCCTACTGCCGACGCGCCATGTGGCACCAGAGCCAGTAAGCTGCTTTGCTTTCCGCAAAAGCCCAACGGGCAACAACAACAACAACACAACAAGAAAGCATAACCAAACCTAAACTTGAAACTTGCTGCTTGAAAATCGCACCGCAATGAGCAGCACGACCAAACTGTGTCTTACGTTCGTTAGTCGGAGTAATTGTTGTTGCCTGCCGTTGCCACGACCAACAATAGCATTGTCTGGACTATCGTGTTGCACGGCGACGAAAATGCAAATTTAATTTTTTAAGTCGTTCAACGACAGCGTCTGTCACTGAACTCTACTTAGCAGCGCCGCACTCTAACCTATCCCCTTCTTGCATACACTTACCACTTGCTGCTTGTTGCAAGTGCAACTTCAATGCTCGACACCTGCATTATTTCGTTGCTCGCACTGTCGCGCGCCATTAAGGTTCGCCTGCTGTTGACTTGTAAGTACCGTTCGATGCGTTGCACAGTTTTCGTTGCATACTTTGAGGCGCGTCTAAACGTAAAATATTCAATTAAGAAACTTTTCTTAATTTCACACACACACACATGCACATTCGTGTTGCTGCCGTTGTCGTTGCGCGTTATTTTATTGCCACTTGCCGTCATGTGGCAGCAACATGGCCATGAAAAACACTACAAGTTGGCATTTTAAGCCAGCGGGCTCAGCAGCTTGTTGGCACTTCCACTTTTTGCCATATTTATTTATTCCCTTACGCTTTTTTTTGCGATTTTTTGCTTAACTTTTACCGCTTTAACGTTGTCTTGAGACGGAAAGGTGTTGCGGTAAAAAGTTTCTTGCGGCTGCTCTTTGTGCCTGTGATTTACGGAGTTTATGTTGTTTTTTTATTTGTATTTATTTTTTTGTTTTGTACTCAGCATGTGGCAACACTATGCAAGTGCATATTTAATTTATGTTTGAGTGGCGTGCGCGTATTCGCTTGTATGTGCAGGTGTGTGTGCGTGTGTGTCGCGCAT